TAAACCCAACTGATAGTGTTTTCAAAAGCACCAATTGACCAGCGCCCACCCACTTCCCTAAACCCAGCCAATAGTGTTTTCTAATGCACCAATTGACCAGCGCCAACCCACTTCCCTAAACCCAGCCGATAGTGTTTTCAAAAGCACCAATTGACCAGCACCCACCCACTTCCCTAAACCCAGCCAATAGTGTTTTCTAATGCACCAATTGACCAGCGCCAACCCACTTCCCTAAACCCAGCCGATAGTGTTTTCAAAATCACAAATTGACCAGCGCCCACCCACTTTCCTGAACCCAGCCAATAGTCTTTTTAAAAGCACCTATTGACCAAAGAAGTGTAACACCCAGGCTGTTGCATGTCCTGAATGAACCATTGAGGTGGATCAGTGATGGAATGATGCATCACTGCCAAGGTCTACTGAACCATTCTGGAAAACCCTCTGCATCCAATGGTTCAAACATTGTATCCTGATGGCAATGGCGTGTCTCAGGATGATAATGTTCCAATACACAGAGTTGTGTCATGAACATGATAGTAAAGTTAAACACCTTCCATGGTCTGCACAGTCACCAGATCCAAATATTATTGAGCTACTTTGGGGTTTTTTGGAGGAGCGAATCAGGAAACATTTTTCTTCACCAGTATCACAAAGTGACCTGACCAGTATTCCGCAAAAAGAATAGATTAAAATCCCTCAAGTTGCTGTGCAGAACTTGTATCTGTCATTCCCAAGATGAATTGATGTTGTATTGGCCGCAAAAGGATAATAGATTTTTTTTTTGTAGATTCCACTTCTTGTAGATTTCAACCCTAACCATTGTTGCCATCAGCTGTTTAAACTTTCCAAAGCAGTTAATTTAACATCTATATCCATAGCTACACTTTTGAACTAACTTCTACTCCTCGACGAACCCTTAAATCTACCCATACCACTAAACCGTTCTCCAGCCTGGTGGGATATGGGCCACCTCAATAGCAGATAAAGTTCATATACTGAACTATTATTATTTTATTCATACAGTGGTTGAAGACTATATAAAGTAGAAATAAATTGTTTAAGGACCTGCAACCGAAGTGACTTGTGGCCCTCTGGTTTCATGTGCCTGTGCTAAGTTTGCCATCAGCTGTTTAAACTTTCAAGGGGGTCCTCTATGGTCTGGACTGTCCCGTCATCCTCTCCCTGACAACAGCCAAAGTAAGAGTTCTCTCACAGATCTTCCACGCACTTCTTTATTTTTCTTCTATCCCATCGCCCCTCTGCGTTTTATAGCCGCACGTGTTCTTTTGTCCTCCTTCCAGAGCTCTTTAATTTTTGACTTACAGTAATATGAAATGGTGCTTCCCAAGATGAATTGATGCTGTATTGGCTGCAAAAAGAGGCTCGACAGGGGTTGGCGAAAAGTTGCCAACCCGGTTCAGGAGAGCTACCTTCTTGTAGATTTCATTATAACCCTGACCAAACACACCTGTCTTTAATTATCAAGTGCTGCTTTAAGTCCTAATAAATTGGTACAGGTGTGTTTGATCAGGGTTGGAGCTGAATTCTGCAGGAAGGTAGATTTCCAGGAACAGGTTGGTGAACCCTGCCCTATACCATCTAATGTATTATTGTAGTCTAAAATCAGGCATTTCATTTTCATTGTGCAACCCCTGTACAGGATAACCCCTGCCCTGCCTTCATGTTTCAGTTGAGATCACGTCAAACATTGAATGTAAATGCACATTTAAAAGCACTTTTTGTGACATTTAAACTCTTATGTTTGTCATTTATATTCTACAATTACTCTTTTGAACCAACATCTACCCCTTGACAAACCATTGAATCTACCCATACCACTAAATCAGTCTCCGACCTTACTAGTGTCCCACCTCATTAGTAGAAAAGTTTTTTATCCTGAACTCCTACAATTGTATTTACAAAATATATAAAGTAGGCGACACAGTGGCACAGTAGGTAGTGCTGTTGCCTCACAGCAAGAAGGTCGCTTGTTCGAGCCTCGGCTGGATCAGTTGGTGTTTCTGTGTGGAATTTGCATGTTCTCCTTGCGTTCGCATGGGTTTCCTCCGGGTGCTCCAGTTTCCCCCACATTCCAAAGTCATGCGGTACTGGTGAATAGGGTAAGCTAAATTGTCTGTAGTGTATGAGTGTGTTTCCCAGAGATGGGTTGCAGCTGAAAGGCCATCCGCTGCGTAACACATATGCTAGATAAGTTGGCGGTTCAATACGCTGTGGCGACCCCAGATTAATAAAGGGACTAAGCCAAAAAAAAATGAATGAATGAATGAACTATATAAAGTAGAACCAAATAGTTTTAGGACCTGTAATATAACAGGTTTGTGGCACTCTGGTTTCTTGTGACTGTACCAAGTTTGCCATTAGCTGTTTAAAGTTTTGAGGGAGTCCTCTATGGTCTGGACCATTCCATTGTTTAAAGCACTTTATGCGACATCTATGTCTATAACTACACTTTTGAACTAACTTCTATCCCTCGACGAACCTTTGAATCTACCCACACCACTAAATTGGTCTCCAACCTTATCAGTGTCCCAACTTATAAGTAGAAAAGTTGCTTATACTGAACTACTACAATTGTATTTACAAACTTTATAAAGTAGAACCAAATAGTTTTAGGACCTGAATTACAACATGTTTGTGGTCCTCCGGTTTCATGTGCCTGTAACAAGTTGCCATCATCTGTTTAAAGTTTTCCTCTATGGTCTGGACCGTCCTACTGTCCAAAGCACTTTATGTGACATCTATATCTATAACTACACTTTTGAACTAGCGTCTATCCCTCAACAAACGCTTGAATCTACCCATACCACTAAACCGCTCTCAAACCTTACCCATATCCCATGTCAATAGCCAAAAATGTGCATATATTGAACTAGTACAATTTTATTTACACAGTGGATGAAGACTATAGGTCTCCAGCCTTACCCAGGTCACACCTTAATAGCAGAAAAAGTTCATATACTGAACTATTATAATTTTATTTATACAGTGGATGAAGACTATATAAATTAGAACCAAATTGTTTAAGGACCTGCAATAGAAGAGACTTTAGACTTCAAAAAACTACACTTTTGAACTTCTACCCCTCGATGAACCCTTGAATGTACCCGTACCACTAAACCAGTCTTCAACCTTACCCATGTCCCATGTCAATAGCCGAAAACGTGCATATATTGAACTAGTACAATTTTATTTACACAGTGGATGAAGACTATATGAAGTAGAATCAAATTGTTTTAGGACCTGCAATAGAAAAGACTTGTGGCCCTCCGGTTTGTGTTTGATAAGTTTGCCATTAGCTGTTTAAACTTTCAAGGGGCTCCTCTATGGTCTGGACCATCCTGTTGTCTTCTCCCTGACAACAGCCAAAGTAAGAGTTCTCTAACAGATTTTCCACGCACTTCACATCAAATGAAAAATGCACATTTAAAATCTTTTTATGCAACATTTACATCTATAACAACCCTTTTGAACTTCTACCCCTCGATGAACCCTTGAATCTACCCGTACCACTAAACCAGTCTCCAACCTTACCCATGTCCCATGTCAATAGCCGAAAACGTGCATATATTGAACTAGTACAATTTTATTTACACAGTGGATGAAGACTATATGAAGTAGAATCAAATTGTTTTAGGACCTGCAATAGAAAAGACTTGTGGCCCTCCGGTTTGTGTTTGATAAGTTTGCCATTAGCTGTTTAAACTTTCAAGGGGCTCCTCTATGGTCTGGACTATCCTGTTGTCTTCTCCCTGACAACAGCCAAAGTAAGAGTTCTCTAACAGATTTTCCACGCACTTCACATCAAATGAAAAATGCACATTTAAAATCTTTTTATGCAACATTTACATCTATAACAAGCCTTTTGAACTTCTACCCCTCGATGAACCCTTGAATCTACCCATACCACTAAACCGGTCTCCAACCTTGCCCATGTCCCCCCTCAATAGCCGAAAAGGTGTACATACTTAACTATTACAATTTTATTTGCACAGCAGTTGAAGACTATATAAAGTGGAACCAAATTGTTTAAGGACCTGCAATAGAAGATACTTGTGGTCCTTGGGTTTCATGTGCCTGTGCTAAGTTTGCCATCAGCTGTTTAAACTTCCGACGGGGTCCTCTATGGTCTGGACCGTCCTCTCCCTGACAACAGCCACAAAGTAAGAGTTCTCTAACAGATTTTCCACGCACTTCTTTGTTTTTCCCCTATCCCATCGCCCCTCTGCATTTTATAGCCGCACGCATTCTTTTATCCTCCTTCCGGAGCTCTTACGCCAATTTTTGGCTTGGCGTAATCTGAAATGGTGCTTAAGTGAATTTATGTTGTGCTCAGTGCATTAACTTCTGCTGTTTTTTGCCTTTATGTTGCGGGGAGCTTTTGTGCGTGCGGAAGAAAAAAGGGGAGAGAGAATGAGAATTTGAAACCCAGACCACGGACTAGACAGCCTATCAGTATTCAGCGGAGAAAGTGAGTGATGGAGAGAGAGAAACGGAGGAAAGAAAGGAGGAGGGGGTGATGTATCAATATTCTGAGTAGTGTTTGAGGGCAAGAAGAACGAAGCGAGGAGGGGTGGGAGAGGGGTGCGGGTGCGCGGAACAGTCCGAGCGGGTTTATTCGCTCAATGTTTTTTAGGCGAGCCAACCCATAGGGTGAGATGATATCGGTAGAACGCTTACGCTGAGGATGGAGACTGAAGTATGTGTTTGTCTGAGCGAAGTGTTGTTCAAGTCGAATGTGACGGAATCCTAGCCCAATGCTAGCCATAACTCCACTCTCCCTCTCTCTCTCTCTCTCTCTCTCTCTTTTACTCTGTGTGCTAATCAGCATTTGAAAGGCAGCTTTGACAGTGAGAAAGAAAAGTGAGGGCAGTGGGGAGGAGGGAGTGTAAACGAGAAAGAAACGAGAGAGTGAAAGAGAGAGAGAGAGGTAGGGGCCGTACAAGCATTTCTTTTATATTTACTAGCGATTGAGGGAAGAGAGAGAGAGCGAGGGACCGAGAGAGGGAGCGGGTGAAGTGACGACCGGTGCGTGCAGCTTTCCCAAGAGGAAATGAAAAGAAAAGAACGAGGAAAGAGAGAGAGCCAACGCAGGGAGCACGCCAGAGAAGGAAACAGACTCGCATCCTCCAACTCCAGTCATATCTGAGACGATCCCGCTTGGAAAGTGAGGGAGGAGAGAGCCGCCGCTGCTGCCGCTACACACACACACACGCACACACTCTTGCGGCTGCAGACCGCTGTGTGTTCGCCTGCTCTTTTGTGCCAGCAGCTGGGATTGTTCTTGGCCCCGTCTGACCCCCTTGTCACCCCCCGTGTGAGAGTGTGTGTTTGCATGTGAGCGCGAGGGGTCCTGGAACGTGGACTGAGTCGAAAGGGGAGGGTCACGGTTCGGGGTTGGGGGTTCTGATCGGGACAGGTCCAAGACTTCTAAGGAAGAGGAGGAGGGAAACATCTGCCACCCAAACAGCTGCTCGGAGGTGGACATGCACATCAGGTGAGTCCGTTTACATCAGCAAAACACAACTTCTTCCTGTTCTGGTCTCTATGAACACATGCCGGACTGTCACATCTGACAGCTTCAACTTTTAAGATATGAGCTTCTTCCCCCTTAAACTTGTTGATGGCTTTGCGCCTGCATGGGGGGCTCGCCTTCCTGGGAAAGTTTTTGGGAAAGACACTTTGCTCATAAGTGCACTTGTCTTTCCGCCTCAATGACGAAGGTATTGGGAGCGCAGGGGAGGAATGCTGGGGTTAATTGTGCGGACCGCCTCGGCTCGCTTTCAAACATCATCTCTCACTTAATTAGTGGATTTTACAAGATTAGTGTGCTTTGCATTGACGCTGTGTTCTGGGGAAGGTAGTGAATGGTAGGCGGCCGTCTTCTGATATCTGATGTCTTTGGATTAAACGGCTTCTTCTTAATGACTGGATTTGTATTAGGAATGAGGTAAATATTAACCTTTTCTTTCAATGGTGTGAGCTTAATGTGGGATTTAGCTCAGTTCGGCGTGCTTTTAAGTTTTAAACATAACTTTATTTGCTAAGAGTCTTTTTAAATTGCTAACTAATATTGAGGCAAGTGTAATAAATTATTAATATTATTTATTATTATTATTATTATTATTATTATTATCATCATTATTAAAAGTTTGCTCACAAAACTATTTGTACATGTTAACTGTTTGTATATATTAAAAATAGTATGTATTTTTAGACACACTTCTAAAATATTTTCACATTTTGCACAATAATAACTGTGCTATTACAACATAATTACAATGTACACGGTAACCAAATATTAATAAGTATTATTTTATAGATTAATTTCATTTATTTGTGGAATGGCTGTCAAACAGCTGAAACTATAGAGACGGAAATTATTTTGGCACTTTTCACCCTCACTATGGCAGCAGTTTCCAGGGAAAGAAACACAAAAAGCAAGCATGAGAAACTCGCTTGGGACTCTGCGGTTTTAGTTTAAGGAGAGTAGAAGTTAATTTGCCGTTTTCCTTTCGTTTTGCAGGTTGAGGATTTTGAAAAATAAATTAACATTAGTTTAAAAGTCCACCTGTTGCACTCAAAAATATATTTCGGCTGCTTGTTAAAACTTCTTATTTCAAATGAGCTGAATCAACTTAGTTCGTGATCTTTTTTTTAAGGACAACTTAATTGTTTTGTGTTCAATTAACTTACATTTTTATACAGTTAAGTTAACTCAACAGATTTGTGCTAGGACATTGTGTTAAACCCAGAATTTTTACCAGTTTGCTTATGAAATGTGTCTGAACACAAAAATGAGCCCTTTTAAAGCTTTTTTTTTTACCCTGTATCAGACACACTGTAAGCTTAAGACCATAATTGATAGACCTTTTTTGTACAGAACAGACCATGTGAAATAGTTGACCCGACAGCATCAGGAATGCCGCCTCTCTGGACTGTTTTAAGAAACTTCTCAAGACTTACCTTTTTACCGTTGCTTTTAATTTAGGTTGATTATTTTGGTTGATTTAATCATTCAATTTTATTGTCTAGATTTTATTGTCTCATTGTGGTGTTTTTATTGTTCTGCTTTGTTACTGTTTGCCTTCTATGCCTTGCAGCGCCTTGGGTCTGAGAAAAGCGCACTATAAATAAAAAGTATTATTGTTATTTATTATTCATGATTTATTATACTTGATATATGTTTATTAATCTAGTTTATCAGTAACACTCAAAAAATGTATGCTTTTTCAAACTACTTATTTAAAATGAGCTAAAACAACTCAATTCTTGATATTTCGTTAAGACAGCCTAATTGTTTTATGTTTAATTCACTTAAAATGATAGAAGCATAACTTTAAAAAGTTAACTTACAGTAATTCCTTCATGTTATCTCAACCCAAATCCATTGAGTGGATCACAGCATTTTTTACAGTGAAGTTTTCATCTTGCCTGAAACTAATTGCTCATTTTGACAGAAAAATCTTTTAATTTTCATTTACCCTCTCAAAACGTTGTTACAAAGTTAGTACCATTTCACAGTATACATATTAATCACAATAAAAATTGTGCATGCAAAAGAACGTGAGCCACCTATTTAGTAAACGCTGCACATCCAAAGACTGAATCCGCATATGCGTAAGACATCAGGGCATCTCTGAAGAGAACGTGAATTGAGAATTGATGGAAGTTCTGCAGGTGTGTACGATGGAGCTATAGGACCATAAAACACGCACGCACACACACACACTGAACGGGACAGACAGGCCTGGTGACAGACAGTGTCAGCGAGGTGTCAGTGAGAAGCTGTTGGTGTCACACTTGGTTGACCTGATCTGTGGTCAGGCTGTCCACTGCAGCCCACTGTGACTCCTTACATAACCACTTCCTGCCACTCACACGCAGATCTGCAGGGACACGCGCGGATATTTATATACTCAACATACACACACACACATATCGATATGCCCTTATAAACACACACACACACACACACAAACAAACAAGAGCCCTTGTCGATATACAGACCCTCACTCTTCTGCAGTCACTCAGATGGGATCTTACCAACTGCTTTTGACCTTCTGCACACTTAAAATCAACTGATAATCTGAACATCCACATTAAAAAGTGCTGGGTTCCACATAATTCCTTCAAGTTGTCCCAACATAAATCAATTCATTTAACTTAGTAGGTTTGTTTTTACAAATTTAAGTAGATTGAACATAAAATAATTAAGCAGTCCCTTCAAAAATCTCAAGAATAGCGCTGTTTCAGCTTATTTTGAATAAGTAGTTTGAACAAGCAGCAGATTTTGTGTGTGTAAAAGCATCCAAGTTTGACAGAAAGCGCTTTATGATTGACAAATGTTGTCTGTATATTTATGAAAGTGAATTAAGTGAGTATCAGAAAATATCTTTAGGGGTAGTTATGTTTAAGCCCACATTAAGCCAAAAGTTTTATGTGTGTGTGTGTGTGTGTGTGTGTGTGTGTGTGTGTGTGTGTGTGTGTGTATATATGTATATATATATATATATATATATATATATATATATATATATATATATATATATATATATATATATATATATATATATATATATATATATATTGCTTTAATACAGTTATGCTTATTTTCTCTATATATTTACATTATTTCCTCATAAACTCATCAATAAAATGCAAGTATGTAAAGATGTAAACATGTAAAGATGTAAACATGTAAAGTATGTAAAGTATGTTGACTATACACACTCAAAAAATGTCTTGTGCTGCTTGTTAAAATTACTTATTTTAAATGAGTTAAAGCAAGCTCTTAAGGTTTTTTGAGGGACAACCTAATTGTTTTAAGATCAATCCACTTAAATTCATAAAATGATTAAGTTAACTTAATCAATGTGTGCTGGGAGAACACAAAGGAATTGTGTGGAACGCAGCATTTTTTACAGTGCACTCAAAATCTTATATAACTTTTGTAAAACGAGCTGAAACAACACTATTCTTGAGCGTTTTTAAGTTGTTTTATGTTCAATCCAATGAAATTGGTAAAAACTAATGAGTAAACTTAATTATTTCACGTTGTCCCAACACAAATCGAACCCATCATTTATCATTAATATACTACAGCGTGTAGTATATAAATGGAATTGTTATATATAACAATTCACCAAAGTCAGTTCTCCACAAATCTAAAACAATATTAACAGGCATTTACATTTATAGTTAATATTGTATACAAAGTTTTTTTTTGCATGAAAGTAGCACGAAATGTGAAGAAATACAATTAAACTAACGCACAAAGAAGAGTACATCATGTAAAAGCGTTTAACTGATAACACTTTACTTTTACTTTTTTTTGTTTGATTACATAAGTTTAAATGAACATCAAAAATACTTCGAAACTATTTGTGAATCTTAACTAGTGTTAATTTCAACAACATTTATGTAATTTGGTTTTTAAAACAAAAGTTAGCATTCAGTTTTAACCGAGATATCAAAATTAAACAGTTGTGTGTGTGTGTATATATGTATATATGAAGTAAAAAAAAATATTTTTATTTAATTAATTAACAAATTATTTTGAACAGAGCAAGAAAATTTCCACATTATGTCTGATAATATTTTTTTTTCTCCTGGAGAAAGTCTTATTTATTTTATTCTAGAATAAAAGCAGTTTTTAATTTTTTAAAAGCCATTTTAAGGTCAAAATTATTAGCCTCTTTAAGCTTAATTTTACAGAACAACCCATCGTTATACAATAACTTGCCTAATTACCCTAACCTGCCTAGTTAACCTAATTTACCTAACCTAACCTCTCCGTTAAACAGAAATTGGGAAATATAATATAATAAATAAACAGGGGGACTAATAATTCTGACTTCAACTGTATATATAATTTTCTTATTGCAAAAAAATAAATAATTATAATTCTTCCAAAAACAGCACAAGCCGAACATGCCTCAAGTTTTATGTGACTTAAACAAAAGTCCTGCAGTTGTCCATGTGGAATAAAGCAGGAAATGTGCATCCTATATAACAATCATGAAGTGATCCAATGATTCTCACTAAAATGCAAATGGTGTTCTAATTCGCCCTGGTGCTTTTAATGAAACAGGCATATTTTAATGCAAAGATGTGACTGCAGTTTTACTTCAGGCTTCTCTGACATCACCTGTACGGCCGCAGGTGCCTGTTTGACCTGTTTGTCTGTTTTCAGGACTCATTCCCTGCCTTTAGGGCTGGTTATTATACTGTGTATGTGTTTCACATACACTGCGTTTATATATGCATTATAGTAAAATGAAGTCATATTTTGCAGTATACTGTTCACTTAATTGAAATAATCATAGTGAAATACAAATTTAAGACAGTTGGTATAGCAAATAGAAACTCTAACATTAAAAAAGGGATTTTGATTTTAACTTTCTAGACCTGTTCAGTTCTCTCAATAAAAAAAAAAAAAAGATTTTACAGCTGGTTCAAACTACTTATTTAAATCGAGGTGAAACAATCCAATTC